GCAGATGGCGATGGCTATAGACCCGTAGAGTTCATATCAGCTAGGCTGTCTTCAGATAAAGTAGCAGCCTCGACGTATGAAAGAGAACTCTACGCTCTCAGGCAGGCATTAGATCATTTGAGACATTACCTGCTTGGGAGGCACTTTAAAGTCTACTCAGATCATGAAACTCTGAGATGGCTTAAGACGCAAGCCAAGATGACGCACAAACTGACCAGGTGGGCACCGGAGATAGACCAGTTTGAGTTGAAGCCCGTTAAAAAGGCAAGTAGAATGTGGTAGCCAATGCTCTAAGTAGAAGGGCTGATTACTTTGGAGCAATCGTGCATTATCTGGACATAGGGGTAGATCTACAATAGAAAATAAAAGATGCATACGGTCAGGACCCGATCTACAATGATCTCCTGAAAGACGGTAAGAAAACCCTTGATAGCAAACCAGATTACAGAACTGCAATGTCATTGATAGATTGTGCATCCCCAATAGTGAAGAGATCTGCAGTTTGATCTTAGGGGAAAGTCATGATACAGAAGGACACTTTGGCTGGCAAAAGATATTAGCCAACCTATCGATGTTGTACACGTGGCCTAGCATGAAAGTACTGTATAGAGTATGTCCGCAGTTGTAAATTCTGCCAGCGCAACAAGACAACGACAAGAGCACCCGTAGGTCTTATGAGAACCTTGCCTATCCCAGCAGAACCTGGAGAGTCTGTTTCCATTGACTTCATGGATACAGGGGTTAGGAGTAGGCATGGAAAAAGTCATAATAGATCAAGTTAGCAAATATGTGATCTTCGTACCATTGCCTGCGGAGGCAAAGACTGAATTAGTTGTAGAGAAGTTATTTAATTTTTGGGTAAGTGAGCATGGCATACCGCTGTCAATTATTATTGACAGAGACACGTGGTTTACCAGCCAGAATTGGCAAGATCTCGTGAAAGTCTACGGCTCTAAGCTGTTGATGTTGTCAGGTCGTCATCCAAAGACAAACGGCCAGATGGAACAAATAAATAAGATCTTGCAGCAGTTACTCAGAATGTATATTAGACCCGATGAAGTGAACTGGGATGAGATGCTTCCTAAAGTAGCTAGTGCCTATAATAATAGTGTATAGTTAGCTACTTCCAGAACTCCTAATTAGCTGCATAAGTCCTTTAGACCACGTAGCCCGCTGAAGGACTGAACCCGGACCACATTCAGAGGCTACCTCCGGATACAAGAGAGTTTGCGCTGCAGCACGAGAAGGAAGTAAAAAGGTGAGTGAAAATCTTAGAAAAGCCCAGCATCACATGATTGAATAAGTGGATAAGCATCGCAGACCCTCACAGTTTAGGGTAGGCGACTTAGTCTGGGTCAAGTCAAAGGAATTTGCACCAGAAGAAAAAATCTCACAGAAGCTCTTGCTCGCGTATATAGAGGCCCGTGGCCTGTCCTAGAAGCCGAAGGTGGAGAGGATGGACCATCATATACGATAGAAATTCCAGCTCACCTTCATACGTATCCGGTCTTTCATGCATAGACTGAATACTAGAAGTTTCTGCCTTGTGTTACCAGTGAACAGTTTCCTTCGCAGAGATCTATGATTCCGCCAGATATGGATGGCACCTATGACATAGACCGAATACTAGAAGAAGATGTATTTCGCACGGGAGGTAGAGGTTGTCCCCAGAAGCAGTACAAAGTCAAGTTCGCTTACCAGAAACTTGAGGACGATAGATGGTTCACTAGAACAGAACTTCTAGAAACCACTCCCAATGTAGTTCGTGCTTACGGAAGAGCGAGGAAAGGTAAAGGTCCTGCCTTGGAATAAAGAGTTCTCAGAAGACCTCGAATTTAGGATGGTGGGAGTGAAAGGGTTTCACCCAGTTTGCGCAACATTGCAGGTGCTAGGACTCGATCCCCAGACCTTTCCTAGTCCACTGCATAGTTGTCGTTGACCATGTGTGCTTTTTGAACCCGCGACCTATCCTTAAAACCGTGTACAAATGTTTTGTGTGCGCAGCTTGGGTCGTGTAGGTTTGATCCTTGGGTTTATTGTTTAGAAGTCTCAAGGTCGTCTGTAGGGTAACGATCTGGGCGCGGTCTCAGAGAGACACTCGGTGAAATAGACATGTTTGTGAAGATGCGGACTACCTGCACCTGGACAGAAAGACCCTATGAAGCTTTACTGTTCCTTGGGATTGGGTTTCGGCTTTTCTTGCGCAGCTTAGGTGGAAGGCTTAGGTCTTTTTCCGGAAAGACTGGAGCCATCRGTGAGATACCACTCTTGAGAAGCTAGAATTCTGAAGTTGTAATTCAATTGTCATGACGTTGAATAGTTGGAATCGTTGATTACAACGAGTTGGATCCTCAGAGGCTATATGCCCGCAAAACAGATGAAAGAAAACATGCCCAGACCCAGAGTTGTCGTTTTTTCTGGGTCATCGTTATGCATCTCATCATACTTGCAAAGTCAAATAACATCTCATGGCTACAGTAGTTCCCGAAGAGTCAACTTGACCTCTTGAAGTCATTAGAGGAAGCCCGTCAGATCTGTGAAAGGTCAAGAGTCCCAAGTCAACCCCAAAGGCCCACATGAAACATAAGCGACCCCTCCTTGCCATCGGACACAGGCCTCTACCAATGGTAGTCCCATCCCCTTTAAAGAAGGGAGGCCGTCGGCAGATATCCCAACCCGCAGATACTGACAGTAGGAGGAGGCGCCCACTTTTTTTGTGTCCGTTGAGTCGAAAAATTTGTATTGTCTTTTATTTATTTGCTTGATTATTTATCTATTCAAGAGGGTTGTCTGAATCCCTCACAGAGTGGTGAATATCCATAAAAGAAAGCTGCAGAGCCTGCATTTTACTAGGCCTTTACGTGCACTGATGCTTCGACCTTCACTCTCTGCGTGAGTGTCGAGCAATGGCTATCTACCGTCCTGAGTGAGTGGTTAGCTGCGGGAGGTGAGAAGAGAGAGCTGCGCCGATTAGTGAGGTGAAGAGAGCTGCTATGGCCCATCGCAATGGTCTAGCCGGCAATAGGCCAGACATTTGGAAGCACATAGTGCGCTGGTGCCCGTTATCTGGCAAGGGCCCCACGATTACGGTGATCCTGAATTACGATGGGGAGGAAGGAAAAATGAAAGTTAATGTCGAGGGAGAAAGGGAGGAAGAGATGAGGAATGATGCAAAACTGTGAGGTGCTATCACTGAGGGTAAAAACAGGGCTGAGAGGGGATGTAGGCGATTTTGGGTTTTTCTTAGGATGGAGGTAACAGTGGCCTACCATGAGACGGAGCCGTTCGTGACTACTATGGAGCAAGCACAGCTGGACGTGGACCGCGACTTTGAGGCAAAGAGTGAAGAAAGTGATGCGGACACGAGCAAAGAAACCAGGCCATACTAGGACCTGGCATGGACCACCCGGCAGGTATGGACCAAGTGAGCCAGTAGAAGACGGATCGGAGGTGATCTCACACCGAAGAGGCTGAGACCGCGAGGCGGTCACAGGCAGCGGCCCAGTGTTACGGTCAGTCGGGGCAAGGAATGAACGTGCGAGGCAGCATACAAGTGAGTGGTGTTGTTGTCAGAGAGAGAGAGAGAGAGAGAGAGAGAGAGAGAGAGAGAGAGAGAGAGAGAGAGAGAGAGAGAGAGAGAGAGAGAGAGAGAGAGAGGACTCACGGTGGCAGAGTACGTGCGGCCTGAACATGCATTTGAAGTCAGACATGCTTGAGGCTTTTTCGCAGGAGCTCTACTCGTGGGTTCGCATAGTTGACATCAACTGCGTGGTCTTTATGTTTTTGTCATGTGTTAGTCGAAGTGGAAAACGGACGTGTGGTGCAGCAATGAGAGAGGG